GCCCTTCACCACCACGCCACCTTCCAGTCCCTGCCCCATGAGTTGTAAGCTACTAAGTTCAGGACTCAAACTGCAGTCATATGTGGAAGTCCAACAATGTAACCATGACACCATCTGCTGGTCCTGATGTGCATACGGTTTTTAGAAGAAAGTGAAGCTATCATCATTTTGAAAATGTAGAACACGCTCCTTTGCCAAGGGCCTGAAAGATGCAAAGATCAAAATCAAGGCCAGGGGACCAGCAGTTGGTATAATGGCTATGTCGCTGGACTCCCATGTAGTCAACTACGGTTTGAGTCCCGGACCTGGTGGCTTAAACTCACACCAGGAGCGTGTGCATGCATGCCCAAGATCCCGAGAGGAGAATGGAGGAGAAGGGATTACGGCATGACCATCCCCCTGGGGGGTGATTTCTCACTTTCTGTCTCTCTGTCTCTCTCTGCCTTTCTGGCAAGCACATGCGCCCTGTAGCAAAAAACTCTCAAAAAAAAAAAAATAAGTAAAAGATAAAAAAAAAATCACAGTGAGGGGAACAGACAGTGGAACGGCAGTAAGACACGATGCTCACCAAGGCTGACCCACCTACGAAGGTCCCGGGTTCATGTCCAGAGACCTCCATGAGTGTGACAGACACACATGTGCAGATGATCTCGGGCTGACTGAAGCTGGGGGCGGACCGCAATGCCACGACCCTGCTGGACGTGCCATGTCTCTGTTTCTTGCTCACGGAAGAAATAAACTTCAAAACCAACAAAAACAAAACCCACAGCCAGATGACTAAAGAAGTGACAAAAATGAGGCATGCTGCTTCCTTAGGAGTGAGCTTCGAATCAGCTTTCTGCTGTCAGCTTCTGGGCGGGAAAGCAGACAGCTCTGTAAGCCAGCATGCCCTTCCTCCGCTCCACCCTAGCTCCCTGCACGTCTCAACGTTCAAATGCCCAGGCCAAACCCCACTCCTTATGGTGTGAGGAAAGTTTAGGTATGTGCACATTATACTGGGCTGTGGGGAAAGTAATGACATATTTTTCTGTTTTTCTTTTTTGGAGAGGTTTTTGCTGTAGGATCTGTGCGCTCACCAGAAAGACAGAGACAGAGAGACAGAAAGGGAGAAATCACCCCTCCGGGGGAGTGGCCATGCCGCAATCCCATCCCTTCTCTTCCATTCTCCTTTCGGGATTTTGGGCATGCACGCACACGTGCCCGGTGTGAGTTTAAGCCACTGGGTCTAGAACTCGAACCACAGTCTACCACATGGGAGTCCAGTGATGTAGCCATTATGCCACCTACCTGCTGGTCCCCTATTTTTGTTTTCCTAAGCAAAAATGCATCATGACTTCTCCAATGATCCAATAACATACAAAACAAAAGCTGTCTCAGTCTGGCACAAGTTCGAGGCAGTTGTCACCCCCTGTTTTGTCAGGAGACTCT